AATTACAGAGGAACTTTTAGTTTTTACATTACTGTTAATAATCCCATTTTTAAAAGTATGCAGTTGAGAGTTTGTTACTAAAACTGGTGTTTTAGTAGCAGACCTGCGTTTGCAGACCTGCAAACATTGTGAGATCATGTTGAATTCATAACAGCGTGTAACTTATAAATATGCAGAAGCAATTTTCACTTGATGGAACGATCTGACAAGTCAGAATATGCCTGTTCAGTTTATTTAGGCTGCTCAGTCCAGAAACAGTTTTCAGCACAGAGGTGCATTCATGAAAACTCCGTCTTTTTTCTTAATCTTGGGAGAGCACGTGCTCTCCTCCTCGAAACAAATCGAAGGTTTCAAAGGAAACAACAAAAACTGATTATCAAGCCTTAAATTCATGGAATTCACATAGTAGCATAGACTGTTTGTTTTTGATAGTCTTCTAATGTCCACTATGAGGTTTCTTCATTCTTTTGTTCACATTTCTACAGACATAGCCCAGCTCAAACAGCTGATACGTTGCACACCTGCACATCTGTCAAGTTGACAGTGGTTGAATACACTTTCATTGAAAAAACATTCCCCTCTAAAGTATGAAGACAGGACTTAATGATTCAAGAGAACAAACACCTTCAAAGACTTTAAAACTTAAAAAAGGAACAATTAGGTGAAAGTCTGGCCTCTTATGTAAAATATAAAGAAATTATGAATGGCTCAAGACTTTTGTACAATTTAAGAGATTAAAGAAATCTAAAAAAAAATTAAAATCAAAATATTAAGTTGCATTCTAACAGAAAAAAACGAATAACAATGCTCTTCATTCAAACAGGTAACAACCCAGCCAACAATAGGCTAAAGGAAGTTTTACCAGTTTCAGAATTAACCTCCACATCTGGGATCTATGAGGAAGCTTGTGTGCAAGAATATTATTTTTCTGTATTTGTTTTCTTTTAAATTGTTTCTACTAGATTAGATTGAAATGGAAGAACGAATGGATGTTTACAGGAAATAGTTTTGGTGATTTGCAGTGTCAGATGACTGAATGGTCGAACCAACTGTGAAGTTTGATCCATGTGTTTAACATTTTCAAAACTGAACTTTAAGTTTTTATACCATCATGGGTGAAGAGGTCTCCAAGAAACATCATGGAAAGAATGTGAAATTCAACTGAGTTTTATTTAATAGCTCCAAATCAAAGTAGTGGCCTTAATGTGCTTCATATTATAAAGCAGTGGCCTGAGTTAGGGTACATGTATGGACTGGTCTCAGCTGGCTCACTGGTGCTAACCGATAGTTAACTGATAGTGTAGTGTTGACTGCTGAGAGACATAGCAGGATAAATAAGTGTCCAGTCTGGCGATTGACACATTTGAAATAATAAAAAAAGTTATGAGCATAACTGTATATTTTACATTCAGTCTTTGATACAGGAGTCCATAATGCT